TATATATACAGCGCGTCTCGACGCGCAAACTTTGGTTATAGGAGAAGAGGATGATGGAGAGAAGGAGAAGGAGAGAAGCGGGGAGAGGTAGACGAGCGTGATAAGAGGAAGTGATCGATGTCAGGATTGAGAGGGGGCGGAATAGGTGGAAGAAAAGCGGCCATTGCCGCGGGAGTCGTCGGCGCATCTTCCCCCTGGAAGTGGTGCTGGACGAACGAGGGATAGAGGAAGGCCCCCGGCACAAGAGACAGGACATGTGGCGCCAGATCCGCCACCGCTCGCACCACCTGCTTGCGCACCGATCGGGGCCCTGGACCCGTCATCACCACATGAGTCTCGGTGTAAGGCCGCCGCTCCCGCTTCTGCGCCGCGAAGACAAGGAAGTGGTACATTGCATTGGGACGCTGCCCGGTCTCGTAGATGAGCGTCCCAGTCAATCGCGCCGCAATACACCCTTGAAAAGGGGGTGTCGGATATGGCTCTTAGGCCGGATCAGGGCGCGGCGCCTCCGCGATGGCCTCGAGCCTAATGGTGGCGGGCTCCACCATGAAGTCCACCTCTGTCGGATGGACCGTCCGGCTCGGAGGAACTACTAATGTCAATGACCGGGGCACCCCGGGGTGGCTGGCGGGAACGGAGAGGTCCCGTGAGGACGGGGGGTTTGGATATGGGATCCGGAAATCCCATTCGGCTTCCTCCTCCGGCTGCTGCTGCTGATGATGGCCCAACTCCATCAAGATTGAGATCGGGCACACGCGGAAAGGGCGGCGATGGCACGACTATCTCCTTAACGAGCATCGCCGCACGCGCGGGCTGAATCACTTCCTCGCCACCGCCGATCCTCCTGCCTTGCGCTCCTGGCGACGGGTGGCGTCTCTTCCTCTTCGGCGTCTTCTTAGGGGCCTTTGGTGGCGCTGGTCGAGGATACAACGAGGGAGGCCGCAACGGCCTTTCCTCCGGGAAGTCCTCCAGCCTCTTCGCCCGCTGCGCAATGAAATCCGGGATGACGACCGCGTTGTACGTCCTCCGCGGGGCCGTCGCCGTCCGCAATCGTGGTTGGATCTCCTCCTCCTCGCTCGCGATCACTTGCGCAATGGAGAGGAGCTCAAGGTGTATGAGCTCCAACAATCCCGGATCGATCGTTTGGAGCTGGGCGAAGGGGTACAGCGCCACCGTCCCTTCCTTCTCCGCTGGCTTGGGCCGTGTGATGATGTAGTAGACGACGAAGTGCTCCCCGATGCAGTGGTCTTCGTGATCCACGAAGAATCGGAACATCCCCAGCGCCACTGACTTGTACAGCGCACGGTGCAACTCCCACCCGTCTTCGTCGGCGAAGGGCAGCGGCTCCACGTCAGTTAGCTCCACCAAATACTCCGAGAACTCGCGCATGGGATATGGACCCTCCATGAGCTGGTAGGGGAGAGTGGTGTAGGAGAAGAAGGGAGGCATTTAATACAGGACAGGGGGAATAGCTTGGAAGTTGAGAGGAGCAGCGGGAGGGAGAAGCGCGGGGAGCTGCGGCACCAACGCAATCGGTCCGTCCTCTGCCCTACGCAGCAGCACTTCGTGGGCTGTGAATCCGTGTCCCCCCCATCCTTGCAATCTGGCCACTGATCTGGCCGCTTCCACCGCGTATTCGCGCACAAAGCTGCGCGCCGGCTCCCGATTCGGCTGCGGTAGGATCGTCAAGTCTCCGATGAAGGTGGCGATGCTGTGCACGAAGTTGGGTGCCACCTTGAGCACGCGGAACTCAATGAATACTCGGGTCGTCTCCCGGCCAGGCAACTGCGTCACGTCCACGTACACCCCCGCATACGTCAGCCGATCGCAAAGCAACGAGTACGCCGCCAAATCAGCAACCCCGGGCGCTGGCACGTTCACCTGTTGGATATCGTACCGCAACTGCCTTTCCTCGTTGAACCGATGCCGCAACAAGCGATCTGCAAGCGGCGTCTGGAAGTGCTCGAGGGGCTCATGCTCCGGCTGGCGATGGTTCATCCTGCTTCCTGAAACTCTCAGCACCAATGGACGAGGCAGATTGGGAAGAGGAGGAGGATGAAGAAGGAGAGGGTGATCTCGCGGGAGCGGGGGTCCGTAGGGGACCTAGCGATGGCTGGAAGGGCCGGAGCGCGGCAGCGTGCCGTGTCAGCGGTCGGGCCTCGAAGTTGTGACGGGGAATTAGCTTCACGGAGTGCTGTCCCTGTGTGCCAACTTCCGTGACCTCGTAAATGCCTGTGTAGCGTGTGTGGATCTTGGAGGAGCGCGCAGATTTCCGTACCTGCACCAAGTCCCCAACTTTATAGCGGGGCAGTGGTCCCGCCAATGTGTGTCGATTCTCGTAGTCACGGATCTGCCGTTGATGTGTCCGATCTACGGCCTGCTGTCGACGGCGAGCTAACGGGGGATAGGCCCTAGCCATTAAGTCCATGTAGTGGCGGGCCTTGTCTCGATTCTGGGCCCGTGTTGCTCTAACTTCCGTACCTACTAAGGGGGACAATTGCACCCGAGGGACACTATTGGTTCTCAGTTGAAAGGGGGACACCCCAGTACTACCGTGTGGGGTAGCCCAATAAACGGCCAAAATGTGGTCTACAATGACCGGCCAGGGTCGGGTGTCTCCCGCAGTGATATTCCGTCTAAGGGCCGTCTTAATCAGTCGGTTGGCATTCTCTACCAGGCCATTGGCTTGAGGCTAATGCCCCGGCGAGTAGATAATCTTAACGTCCGCCCTGACTAGGTGACGTTCTACTTCGCCTTGAAATTCCGACCCATTGTCCATGTGTACCTCTTCTACGTCTAGATGCATGCACAAAAATCGATTTACGTACCAGGCTACTTCCTGCGAATTCCGGCTGGTCATAGGGTACGCCTCGATCCATTTTGAAAAATGATCGACGGCCACTAAAAGAACATTGAGTTCTCCCTGATCGACGGGACCTCTCGGAACGTTGATATCCGTCGTATCGATGCTAACCCTCTGAAAGGGGCGCTCTACACGAGTGGGCACCATCGTCCGAGGCATCTGTATCGGCGCCTTGTCCGCTGCGCAGGCCGGGCAATTTTGAACGATGTATTTCACATCTTCCCGGATTCCCGACCAGTACCATCCGTTCTTTTCTATGGCTTTTTCCGCGTACTTGACCGCGAAATGGACCGCATCCTCTTCATGAGCGGCTCGTGTCCAATCGAACCTAGCGAGCGGGTGTGGAACCGTCAACCAGCTAGACCCTCCGTCATCATCGACTTTTCGTTTTTGTAACGTCGGTCCCTGCCAACGATAGTCCTGCGCCCGCTCAGTGACTCTCCGCCTCTCAGCTTTAGTAAGTTCTGACAGCCAGTCGCCTGACAGCCTCCGTGGCAACAGAAGGTCCGTCCAGGCTCTTGCCCGGTGGGCACTTGGCGCAAATCCGTCGGTTGTTCTGGCCTTCTGATACCGCTTCTCGGTAGGGACTTGGTCCGTTCTACAGTTGGGACAAACCCACGTCTTTTCACTTCGATACCTAACGCACTGTCCGTGAGATTTGACCGTATGACACTGACTACACTGTACCCATAAAAGAAAACTGGGCCCTCCCGGATGTGACCCTTCTTGGTCCGGGATCATAGGCAAGGTACAGAAAAAACAGGGACTTAGATGTGTTTAAGAGGACGAGTTGGGGCTAGACGAGAGAGCGAGGGAGTTGGATGAGGGCAGAGAGATAGCGTCGGCCATCTCCGATGAAACCTCCATTCTGGACTCAGGCGTCGTCCTTACGCAGCACGTGTAGCTCCCCGTAGTGCGGTTTCGTCGCCGCGACTTCTGGCCTCCACGGAATGAGTCGCTAGTTGGTGGGACACTTGTTGGGCGGAAGAAGGTGCATTAATCCATCGGCGTTACCATGCTGCCGCGTGGCACGGTGGCGGATGTCGAAGTCATAGTCTTGCAGACGCACCGCCCACCTGCCCAGCGTCCCCGTGTAGTCCACGTTGTTGCGTAGGGACAGCAGCGGCTGATGATCCGTTACCAGCACGAATTTCTGGCCGTACAGATACGGTCGGAAGTGCTGAATCCCCCACACCACCGCCAGGCACTCGCCTTTGCATGCTTCGTAATTAGCCTGCGCCTGGCTCAGCGTCTTGGACGCATACTCAATGACGTGCTCCCTTCCGTCCTTGCCGTGCTGAGTCAGCACCGCCGATATCGCCTGCGACTGCCAGTCTGTGTACAGTGCGAACGGTCTTGTCGGATCGGGGCGCGCCAACACAGGAGCAGATGTCAGAGCCTCCTTCAACGCCTGAAACGCCGCTTCGCATTCTGACATCTAGATCAGCTGTCCCTCTTTCTTCAGCAGGTTCGTGAGGGGCTTCGCTATGTCGGCGAACCCCTTGATGAAGCGTCGATAATAGGGTGCCAGCCCTAGAAAAGCCCGAACCTGGGTGAGCGTGACCGGCGCCGGGGCATCTTGAACTCCTGCCACCTTCCTCGGATCCGGTTTTAGTCCATCGACCGTGACGATGTACCCCAAGAATGAGATCTCCGACAAGAAGAACTCGCTTTTCTCCAAGGCCACTTTGAACCCCGCATCTTTTAGTGCATGCAAAACCCACTCAATGTGTTCCACGTGGTACTCGTGTGTTTTTTAAAAGACCAAAATGTCATCCATGTACACAATCACGCAGAAATTGATCAGGGGCTGGGTCAGTCGGGTTTTGTTAACGAACTCAGCGAAGGCCATATTCATGGCCCGCTGAAACGTTGCAGGGGCGTTACAAATACCCATGGGACACCGGACCCATTGCCACGTGCTCTCAAATAGGACAAAAGCGGTTTTGGGTCGGTCCTCCGGTCGGACTGCGACGTGGTGAAAACCGTGTCGGATATCGAACTTGGAAAAGTCTCGAGCGGCCCCGATAGCATCTAACAAATCATCGATTCGCGGCAAGGGATACACATCTTTGGTAGTAATGGCGTTCAATTTCCGGTAGTCAATACATACCCGGACTGAACCATTTCGTTTTGGCACGAGGACCACGGGAAAAGACCACGGTTTCAGCGATGGTTCGACCCACCCCAACCGCTCGAATTCCCGTACCCTTTCCAACGCGAGCTGTCTTTCTTTAAGGGAATATCGGTACGGTCGGCAATGTATCGGGGCGTGATCCCCGGTATCAATCGCATGCTGTATCAAAGGGGTTAGCCCTATGTCGTGGTCCTGAATATTGACGGCCTCAGGATAGGCCTGTATAACTGCCAGGAGGAGGCGTCGGTATTCATCCGGAACACGGGCTGGTAACTGAACTTCTACGGTTCCACCAGGAAGTGAGACCGTCGTCGTAACCGTGGGGACCGCCGCGTTGGCATCGGGCGAGGCCCCAAACAAAGAGTTGTCTGTTTTCGCCGAAAGGACAAACACAATTAGTTGACTGTCCGCCGGGCTCATTGGCTCGCTTTCCATGTCACTGTCACTATCCAGTTTGGGTTCGGCCGAGGGTTCTACCGAAAAGGCCTGCGTCAGTTCCCTCGGTCCCCACCGATATTCCCTTGTTCGGGGTTGAAACGACACCCCTTCTTTCAAAAGTATCGCGGCTTTCTCATTCGTGAGCAGGGGCTGTGGAGGTCGAAAAGATAAATCGCACAGCCCCCTCAGCTCGGTAAATCTTTCAGGTAGGGGGTCCGTCCTGAGATATAAGGACGCAGGGGGTTCCGAAAGGTCTGCTATTCGGGACACCCTTAGCAGGGGTTCCCCCTGCACCACGGAGGAGAACGCGTGCGACCAGTTGGACTCGCTCTGAACTATTTCCAGTGGTTCTCGCCGCCAAGACTGGCGCCACCGATCCTGAACTCGGATCGGATATCGGTCGGGTGCATCAAGCTCGTCAGTTTCCGTCGATGGTTCATTTTCGCCTGGTGACAGTCGTCGGATCATGTTGATTTGATGGGCTTTCGTGGTGAGTCGAGGCGCCAGCTGGGTGTGCATGCGCACCACCAATCTCATTGGTATCATTTGGGGTTTGGGGTGGGCCGATGTGAGCACCACCTTACAGCTGTCAAAGTGCATTCGCGCTCCAMCCGCCGCCTGCCACGGAATGCCTAGCAGAACATCATACGCCTGTACATCCAGCACGATCACGTCACACAAACAATGCACCCGCCCCACCCGTATAGGCACGTTCGTTATTCGCCCTTTACAATGAATACTGTCTTCCGTAGCAGATATATACAGCTCATCCGGTCGGAGGGGCTGAACCTGTCCTTCCCTTCCCAACTGTTTCGTCAATCTCCAAGAAATGGCGACCGCTGACGATCCTGAGTCTAGGATGGCGGCCGAGGGGTTTCCCCATACCTCGCAGTCACACTCAACGCTTTTCCAGGTTATAAGATAGGCTCGGAGGAATACCTCGGGTTTTTCCGAGGCAGAGTCTACGGTCTGGATCATTCCTATCCGGCCGGCTTCGTGCACCTTTGAGGTCGAGGGCTGCGACTCCTCGTTTGTGGGTAGGTCCCGTAGGACCGACTTTTTGCCCTTTTGACTTTCCTCGAA